CTATCATCAGTTTTTGGCCCCTCACTCTGGGCCCCATGGTCCTTACTCTCTCTGCCCAAAGCCTTTCAAAAATCCATATCAACTTACATCAGAGAGGTTTTCATACCACTTTTTCTAGTGGCTGGTAGGGGAACCCAGACCCTCCTTCCTCTCTGGATTCCAGTCCTGTAATGAACAGGCAAGGTGTGCTCCATTAGACTTCTTGCTGCTGCTGCCTCCCTGGACTTCTTCCTGTCATTACTCTTTTTGTCAGGCCTTCTCCTTAGCTTCTTTCTGGGCTCTTGTAATGAGCAATGCCTCCCAAGGCTTCTCCCTGGAGGTCTGGTTCCTGCCCTTGGCTGTGTTCCTAATCCACTGCAAGCCTCTGTCAGGGCTCTTACAAGCAGACTCCTTCCACTGTTCTACTCCTCGGGTCCTTCTGCCTGCAGCTCCTACCCTGCTACTCCAGGAACGCTTTCCTACTCTGTGTTCAGCCTTTCCCTGGGTGAGCTGGTTCTTCCCCTTTACCTCAGGGCCCCGTACAAGCCATCTGCCCAGCAAGGTATCCCAGCTCTGGCCAGTTCCATCACAACCCTCTGTGTGTCCACTCCTGCTCCTTCCTGTTTCTCTGTTAAGAGAGCAGTTATAAAGTTCTTCTTTCTCTTCTTGTAACCATCTTCTGCTTCAGGCTTCCTGCCTTTATGGCACCATCCAGTTCCGTCCCAGCTGAGTTTCATCTTTAATTAGGAATGGTCCATCCTCCAGGTACAATCAGTGGGTTAATGAAGCTCTCAGTATACACTCCATCACAGACTACAATTAAAGAGGATGCAGGGGGAGAAGAGGAAATTGAGAGGGACAGCTTTTGGCCAGGAGTCCCAACCTAGTGCCTCCTTTCAGTCACAGACCTCACTTCTCTCTGGTAGTGTGCACCCGAGTAGCCTTCTCTTGCTTGAAACGCAGGTAAGCTGCACTGTAGCTTTTATAGCTGTTTATTTTATTTGCACAGGTGCAGGTATCCCAGTGGCTGTCTGTCTGGTTGGTTGAAATCCCAAGTATAGACAAGGCCTGAGAGTTCCAGCTCAAGATGCTCTGCTTGCAATTAAGATTCATTAATAGGCCTGATGAGCTTTTATAGTTGTGTGTTGTTTGTAAAGACAGGGTAACCCCCTCCCCAAATCCCAAACAAAATATTGCCACAGAAATGGGAACTTAAGGAAAATAAATAGTCCTTCTACACTTTCTGCCAAGATGTCACTGAATGTTTTGGTTAAATAGCAAGTTATTGAAAGGATCTGCTCTTCTGGATCTTAGTGAATCCATGATTTGTTTTAAATGTTATATTTCATACTTCATATGTCGTGTACAACATGGCATAAACCAGTGGGATTGAGGGGGAGAGGGACAACTACATCTCAACAAGGAACAGGTGGAATGTTGCATATTAAATTTGTATTCATGTGATATAGTACCTGGCAGGTCTGCTTTCTCTCACCATGCTAGCCTCTGGACAAATGCTTTCCTGCTGGGGGGCCATGAGGTTCTCTTCACTGTGGCAATAACTTATTTCCTTCCCTCCTAATTGAAGCCCTGATTCCTTTTAGATGTCTGTGAAATAAAATGCTCATTCTCTGTTAGAACAGAGTGATTACTGGTCTTCTCTGCAATGGTCAGAAAGGGCATATCTGTGCTGCAAAAAAGAACTAGATCAGCCAGTGTTTTGTGTGCGTGTGGTGGGGCTGTGTTAGGATGGTGCCTTTTTGTTGCCAGTGAGGAAACAGCTCTAACGTTTGCTAGAGAGCAGTTTTTTAGGCTAGATAAAGTCTTAAAACAGACCTCATTCCACTGCTCACATGCAGAAAAACTGGCTAGTGCACAGATCTTCCTGTAGTGCAGATGAGCTTGAACAGTCTACAGATCAGTCAGCAAGAAATACTGTTGTCGTGAGAGGCTGTAGCTGTTCATCTAATCTTTTTGCTCCTTGGCAACCTCCCATGCTTCTCTGAGTTTAGATTCACCTTGGCAACATCCTTGACCTTCATTAGCACAGGGAGTGGGAGATTTGAGGCAGATGCTTTGAAGCCATGGTGTAGTTAAAGTACTAAGCCAGCTAGAATGGGTGAAGAAATGATTCAGAAATCCCAAACTTTTGTTTAGTGTCTAGCTACTTTCATGGCTCTAAAGGAACAGCTCAGCAGCAGCATTCCTTTTTAGAGCATTGGAGAAGGTTCCTTATTGACAATTGTCAACTGCTGCAAATGGCCCACCTTGATTATCACTACAAAGGATGTGGATAAATTGGAGAGAGTCCAGCGAAGGGCAACAAAAATGATTAGGGGACTGGAACACATGACTTATGAGGAGAGGCTGAGGGAACTGGGATTGTTTAGTCTGCAGAAGAGAAGAATGAGGGGGGATTTGATAGCTGCTTTCAACTACCTGAGAGGTGGTTCCAAAGAGGATGGTTCTAGACTATTCTCAGTGGTAGAAGAGGACAGGACAAGGAGTAATGGTCTCAAGTTGCAGTGGGGGAGGTCTAGGTTGGATATTAGGAAAAACTTTTTCACTAGGAGGGTGGTGAAACACTGGAATGCGTTACCTAGGGAGGTGGTAGAATCTCCTTCCTTAGAAGTTTTTAAGGTCAGGCTTGACAGCGCCCTGGCTGGGATGATTTAGTTGGGGATTGGTCCTGCCTTGAGCAGGGGTTTGGACTAGATGACCTCCTGAGGTCCCTTCCAACCCTAATATTCTATGATTCTATGAAAGGTGGTGTTTTTTTTTTTTCCTTTCCTGCTGGTAATAGCTCACCTTACGTGATCACTCTCGTTACAGTGTGTATGGTAACGCCATTGTTTCATGTTCTCTGTGTATATAAAATTTCCCCACTGTATTTTCCACTGTATGCATCTGATGAAGTGAGCTGTAGCTCACGAAAGCTTATGCTCTAATAAATTTGTTAGTCTCTAAGGTGCCACAAGTACTCCTTTTCTTTTTGCTGATTGACAATGTGTGCATTACACCTGTGTGCAGAGGGCCAGCACAAGACTTAGGCTCCATTTAAATCCCACTTAAGTCATTGGGCTTAAGTGCTTCATAGTGCTTCATTCGCACAGGGATGAATTTCACCTAGTAAGAATAACAGGCAAATATTTTTTGTTCGAAGAATTTTAACAAATGAAGGAGTGGCATGGTCTGACCTGAGGAACTCCTGAGTTTGATTAACTGTGATGCTTTGTGGTGTTAGCCAAGTCACTTGGGGCCCAATATTACACTTTTGAAGGCAGTGGGATTTTTGCTATAAACTTCAGTGGGAGCATGACCATAGGCTTAATCTCTATTAGTTTTCCATTTGTAACAAGGGAATAATTTCTATCTACCTCACAGAGATGTTGTAAGTGTAAGGGATAATCAGTATTCATAAAGCGTTTGGAAGAGGTTGTAGATGCTATCTCTTATTCTGATTTGTTCTTTGCCAGATTCAGCTGAAGAGGTTTTTTTGGTGATTTCTGATCCTTTGACAAATCTTACTTCTTTAAAACCCATGGACACTTGAAAATAGACCCAACCCCAACCTCACCTGTAGCCCCACCCAAAAAAACAAGTGGATGATATCTACATTTATAGCTGTAGAAAGAATTGGGTATCTTGGTTTATTGGTTTAGATCAAGTTTAACTCTGAAAGACCATTCCAGATTTTTCTGGTTAACTCTACATTAGAAGGAGTCCTTAATTACCTTTCTCCTCCCATCCCTCAACACAAACCAGTAAATCTACCTGATAGCTTCCAGAAACACCTAATCAATAAATTTCTCAGGGCCAGTTTTCCATTTTGGGTATTATGTGATTTCTTGGACCCTAATTTTGACAGGATACACTTTTTGAGTTTAACTAATTCTCATGTCAACTGTAAATAAAACGCAGTCACCAGTACCGTCTATTTCAGTTCCCTCCACCATTCTCAGTGCTGTGGTGTTCAGTTTTGATAACAGTTGTCGATACGTCTCCGGGAAATCACATTTGTGGGTGATTGATTAGAATAAAACTCTGGGCTGCTCTGCTCCCTTCCAGTTCCATTGTGGAGCTTTTTACCTGATGTGGACTGGACTGGGGAATCCATCCCAAAACCTGGAAGGATATTCAAGGGTCTGCAGAAGGCCAGTGCCAATCTAGTCTCACTGCTAGGGACTCTTCTGGAGACCTGGGGGCATCCTGTCACAGAGAGGGCTCTGCAGAGAAGGTAATAGAGCCCAGCCTTTTACCTTTCCCTGGTAAACTACTCAGGGCCAGCTAGGGTATGGTGAACGTCTCCCTCCACTGCCCCACATAACATAGGTCAATTCCCAGCCTCTAGCTGGCCCTCTCCTTTCTCGCCTCCTGCACAGATCCTGACATTGCAGAGTGTCTTTTGGGATTCTCGCAAATGGGAAGGCGGTCTCAGCGAGGTGCCTTTTAACTCCCTTCCACAGAGGAGGAGTGAGTTTGATGCGTGGATCTTGGAGGCGTTTCTGAGATCCTTCCTTAAAAGTTACTCCCCCATCCCCTCTGGAACTGTCACCTCCCTCTTTGCTTGAGTTTTCATGTATGTTTTTTCTCTTTTTTTTATCCTTTCCCTAGCCTACATGTCTCCCTTTCCTGTCTCTTTGGAAAACAGAATATTATGTGTTGTTATAAGTAATAAGATTAATACAAACACTTTGTGACTGCTGTATTGTGGACACCAGTAAACTGTCCCACAACTTGAAAGAACATGCTGTTAATATTTCACCCAGTACTATCTGGGTCTTTAGCCTGGTGTCTGAAGATATACAGTACTAAGCAGTCTGGGGCCCTAAGTATTTTGATATGTGGGTGGGAGGGGAGAAAGATATAATGCTTAAACATAAAATTAAAATATAGAGCATAGGTTTAAAATAGCATTTATGAAAAATTGGCAGTTAGAATTTAGTTACTCATGTACAAGTCTGCAGAAGAGTCTTAACAGATGGAGGCCTCAATTCTGTGTGTGTTTGATTCTCTTTCAGGGAATTGAGAATGGGCCATCAACAATGCTAGGTCTACAATGGGAAGTGTCACGCTTCGCTATTTCTGCTATGGGTGCCTTTTCACATCTGTGACTTGGACACTTCTGCTGTTTGTTTATTTCAACTTCAGCGAAGAGACCCAATCTTTCAAGAATGTGCCCGTCAAGGGGCTGGAACCTCAAAAGCCACTTCCTAAAAAATTCTATCCCCGTTTCACTCGGGGTCAAGTTCGCGTACCTAAACCACAACGGAAAGACAGCAATATAGGGAATCCATTTGGAAATCATGCACAGGACCCAGGGAAGGGAGACATGGAGCTCTCCCCTGAAATGGGTAAGTGGGCTTGGTCATCTTCATTATCAATGACATACACGCACACACAAACACATCTTAGTTAAATCAGTAGAAGTGAGATCATAAGACTTTAAATGTGTCCAAGGAAAATTTTTATACTCAGAGAATATTTATTTATTAAAATGTTGATCCTGGTGTTTCTCTTGGTTTCAAAGTAGACTTAAAGTTTATTCTTTTACAGTATGTATTTTTTTAATCCAAAATGTTGCAGTCTAGCCTTTATTCTAAAATATTTTCAACTTTACTACATAAAATGCTACAACAGAACTTCTGAACTTTAACATCCAGGGTACAGACTTTGATATACCACCTTGCCACTGGTAGCATTTGTGCATGTCATGTTGATGATTTACTTTGAGAGGGATTGGACTAAAATATGTGTGAAATTTTAGAGGCTGCAGAGAAACTCAATTCATTTTTTTCAGTATAAAAGATTTAAAAAGTAGTTTGCATGGTGATAGTATGAGGCCTATGTTTGCTATCCATGTATCATAGAAGTATAAAATGATCTACAAACTAGACTGGAAAAAGTTAAGATGATGGGTTTATTCATTTGACAGGGTCAAATTTTGCTTGCTTTATTCAGGCAAATAGGTCTGTTGACTTCATTGGCACTACTTAGAAGAGTGTGGCATTTTGAACTGAAAACTGGCCATTGAACTGGAAGAAGGTAGTGCAAGTCACTCTATTGGTGTCTTAGCTATTTCCGTTGGAAGTATAATACAGAATGTATTTTATCTAGCCCTGAATTTAATACTGGCAGTGCTGGCTAAAACTCCCTACACTCTTCTTCAGTAAAATGTCAGTACGGCGTCAGCTATCGGAGAGTTTTATGGAGCTTAAAAAAAAGCTTACCAAAATGTAAGTGTAGACTTGCTCAGAGGCTTATGTGATCGATAGAAGGTGAAACACCTTCCAAAATTTAACTGCCAACTTGTGATGCCACAGGGCACGCAAATTCTTATCAATTTGCTGTGTTACCAACAGCTGCTAATTGCTGCATAGTCCAGAGGTGACCATCTCTTTCCAAGTATTCACTGCTTGCCAGGAAATGAACTGGAGAGTTGCAACAGAAAATCTCTTTGATCTTGAAACCCAAAGACTAGCTGGATGGGTGAAAGCCAAATGTGTTCTATTGCAGGACAAGTCCTGTATGAAAATTTGGGAGACAGCTGGGCCTCTGTTAGAATTAGACCTAGTGTTATAAGGAAGGGTTTCCTGTCTGTCCAGTCTGGAGAAGTGATAAATATGCTAGGCTGTAAAGTTAAAAAAACAGTTTGGCATATTATAGCTGAGAACAAAATGTCATCTGGTAGGGTAATCTATATTTTTTTCTTATAAATGTATGAAACACACATAACACTGCTATAGTAAAGGGTTTGTTGATGTTTCCATTGCAAACCTCATTTTCCAAGGGCTTAGAGCTGTTGTTTGGACTGGAATTTGTCAGGCACTTCGCACGCACTTTGTTAGCCTGCATGCAGCTCTTCCAATCCATCTTAAATAATATTTACGAGTTTGACTGTGTTTAGAGAGGGGAAAAGAAAAGTGTAGACACTTGTGTGAGGGCAGTCTGTAGAACAAAAAACAGTGCAATTTGGCATGAAGTTTTCAAGCATGTGGTCCTTAAAGCGGATCAGCTGAGCAGACTCAATGGCAGTAGTGCTTGCTGTAATCCAGAGGATGCAAGTATGATTGAGCTTAGAGCCTCTGGACCAGAGTTGGGAAGCTGCGGGCAGCTATGCCTGCGGATGGTCAATGTAAACAAACTGTCTCCCGGCCCACCAGCGGATTACCCTGACAGGCTGCGTGTGGCCTACAGGCCGCAGGTTGCCCACCACTGCTCTGGACAGACAAAATCATTGCTAAGGTCAGATGTGTAACTCCAAGGAAGGGTTTGTGCCACTGCTTTTGTGGCTACTGCTGAACAAGGAAGGGAAAGTAATACCTATTAATAGTCACATTTCTAACCTCTGTGACTAATGGCTTGTCACATTGCAGTTAACCTGATGGATAAAACCCAGTCAGTGCAAACCCCATGGAGACAGATTGCGTTGGTGTAAACTGTGGCTTCCACTGATGTAGCTTCCCATGGTTTCAAACCTCTACCATAGGGGTGTGAGCCACTGCTGCTACATTGGTATTGCTGCTCTTGAGGCTAAAAACCCCAGTGCAGACAACATGCATGGCAGTCACATTGGTGCATTGCTTTTTAGAGGAAGGGCCAGGTATGCGCCCTCGGGAGAATCACTGTTACATGTCCCTTGGTGTAAATCCCATTACCATGTCACAGTCAGTCATGTTACATCTGTGCTATGAAGGGAAATAGGGAGATCTTGTTGTCTTTCCCGTTCCAAAAACATTTCCACAGCTTGCATTTCTCCTTCTATTTTGCCCCTTTTATTTCTGATCATACCACCTCCATGGACATGCTGAGGCTGTCATTGCCCTAGGTCACCTGGATTTTGCATAGCTCTCCAAAGCAAAGTAATCTGTTGGGTGTATTGCAGAAGATTAATTTGGGGTTTCCTTGCTTATTGGTTCGTCAGACCCTTGACATGTTGAATAAGGGGGAAAAAATAAATGAAGCCATTTGTTCCAGTACTTCAGGGCTTGTACCAAGGGTTGAGTGAAATATCTCAATGAGTACAACAGAACTCAGTGACTTTGGGACCCTAGAACAGTAGAGTTTAAATTGTTTTTGGCCCCAGGCACAGAGTCAGGGACAGAAAGAATGACATTGCAGGATTTTGCTGCTTACACTAGCATGCTTTTCGAAACTGGATGGCTGCCTCTACCTTCCCACTGCACTTGGTGAGAATTGATGTTTCCGCTAAAATAATCAGCGAAGAAATAGTCAACTCTGTTGCTATTTACTACTGAAGTTGTCGTTCTGAGGCTTGAGTCTCAACATCTCAGGTGAGATGAATGATGGTAGATCAGGCTTTTTTGATAGCTATTGTTTTTCTCTCTCTGGAGTCTCATGAAACTGCACTGCACTAGGGCCATGCTTGGTTGGATTTTCTACCACCACAAGGGCTAGAAACTTACTGTATTTAAATAGAAACATACACTTTGAAGAAGCTTAATCTGCCATGGGTACCAGGTTATGCATCAAGTGGGCTAGATCTGGCTGATTGGTTGGGTGTTAACACCTGTGTTTTATACTGAGGTTAAGAATGAGGTTTTTAGGGGGAAGAAATGTGTGGGGAATACGAAATAAGCACAATGGGGCCATCACTGTTTGGGGGATGTTATGCTCCATTCACATACAGTCTATTTTTATTACACCTATAATGGCTGTTCATAGACTTAACCTATTACTGGGGTAGAAATTGAAGTATTCATACAGAAATGTGCTCTGAAAACTGGTTAAAATATGATTTGTAAAGGCAGATTGTGAAAACTATGCATGAGTTAAACACTCCATTTCAGTACTTGATCACTGCCAGAGGACATTTTTGACCCAATGAACTGATTTTGATATGTTTCTATTATAGGCATGATTTTTAATGAACACGATCAGGAGGTGAGAGACTTGGGCTATCAGAAGCATGCCTTCAATATGCTTATCAGCAACCGTTTGGGATACCACAGAGAGGTGCCAGATACAAGGGATGCAAAGTATGTCCTTTATACCATTTGCTCTATAAATATAATGTTACGTTTTCCAGGGTCCAGTATACTAAATAATGAGACTGGAATTAAACATTTGGCCGTTACACATCTATTACATTTTGCTTTCAACATATCAGTTACCACTGAAGGCAGATTTCCAGTCCTTTAATACTTGCAGCCAGATGGCTTGAGGTTATTCTTTTAATTTGGAGGGTTTGCTTTATTGAATACTGTTCAGAATTGGATCTCAAGAGGCAAACGGAAATGGGATAATAATTGTACATAATTGAAAAATCTCTATTGAACAGGTCAAATGAGAAAGTCAGACTAACGCTATGTTAAGACAGTGCGTGTATGTAATTTTAAGATCACCTACACAAACCATATGTCTACCTACTCTACCACACAGAAGTCTCTTTGAATTTGGATTTTAAAATACAATATGTCTGCAAATAAATACATATACAGTAGAATCTTTACAAGCTAATGACACTCAGCTGAATGGATCAAAGGGTTAAAGTAGAAATTATTTTCTCAGTCAGATGTTAGATGGAGAAGCTGATTGGTTAGAAAGTATCCTGCTCAATTTAAATATGAGAAGCCATCCGGTGGTCACCCCAGAGACCTAACTTCAAATATAGGGTACAAAAGAATGTCCATACTGGGTCAGACCAAAGGTCCATCCCGCCCAGTATCCTGTCTGCCAACAGTGGCCAATGCCAGGTGCCCCAGAGGGAGTGAACCCAACAGGTAACGATCAAGTGATCTCTCTCCTGCCATCTGTCTCCACCCTCTGACAAACGGAGGCTAGGGACACCATTCCTTACCCATCCTGGCTAATAGCCATTAATGGACTTAACTTCCATGAATTTATCCAGTTCTCTTTTAAACCCTGTTATAGTCCTAGTCTTCACAACCTCCTCAGGCAAGGAGTTTGACAGGTTGACTGTGCGCTGAGTGAAGAAGAACTTCCTTTTATTTGTTTTAAACTTGCTATCCATTAATTTCATTTGGTGGCCCCTAGTTCTTATATTATGGGAACAAGTAAATAGCTTTTCCTTATTCACTTTCTCCACACCACTCATGATTTTATATACCTCTATCATATCCCCCCTTAATCTCCTCTTTTCCAAACTGAAAAGTCCTAGTCTCTTTAATCTCTCCTCACATGGGACCTGTTCCAAACCCCTAATCATTTTAATTGCCCTTAGAATATCAGGGTTGGAAGGGACCTCAGGAGATCATCTAGTCCAACTCCCTGCTCAAAGCAGGACCAATCCCCAGTTTTTGCCCCAGATCCCTAAATGGCCCCCTCAAGGGTTGAACTCACAACCCTGGGTTTAGCAGGCTAATGCTCAAACCACTGAGCCCTCCCTCCCTCCCTCCCACTCCCCTGCCCCCATGCCAGTTGATCTTTTTTGAGATGAGACCACATCTGTACACAGTATTCAAGATGTTGGCGTACCATGGATTTATATAAGGGCAATAAGATATTCTCCGTCTTATTCTCTATCCCTTTTTTAATGATTACTAACATCGTGTTTGCTTTTTTGACTGCCGCTGCACACTGCTTGGACGTCTTCAGAGAACTATCCACGATGACTCCAAGATCTCTTTCCTGATTAGTTGTAGCTAAATTAGCCCTCATCATATTGTATGTATAGTTGGGGTTATTTTTCCAATGTGCATTACTTTACATTTATCCACATTAAATTTAATTTGCCATTTTGTTGCCCGATCACTTAGGGGTAGTGGAATGGGTTTGATGATCCCTAATTGATATAACACAGAGCCTCTCTGTGTTTGTTTTTTATGTAATGGACAAATAACCAACTAAAGGTGAGATTGATTCTATGTGGTGATCAGTGTGCGCTCAAGAGATCTCCATTAATGGACTGTCGGGGATATTTCAAGTGAGGACAGAGATATATTGAGCATAGAGAAGTTTGTATAGTGCATACATATATTCTGTGCAGGTGTACTCTGAACTATTAATTTTAAAGGAATGATATTATGGGGAAAACCCCCAAAATTCTGTACCTGTATTATAATTACATACTGGGTTCTTTAAAAATGCTTTCATTTTTAAAATCTAATATATGTTTTTCTATTTATTCTGTTGGAGTGAATAGCAAAAAGGTAAGCAATGTGGTGAATGTAAATGGCTGACTGCTAATTTCACTTTTTTTTTTAATTCACATTTTGTGTCTCATGCACCAGTACAATGTTAAGGTTTTTAATTGGACTTAAAAGTGTTTAATTAAAAACCTAAATTGGGTGTAAATTTACTGATACAAACTTAATGAGCACTAGGATTCACAGAAAGCTATTTTATTAGATCCAAGAGGTATCAAATAGTAACTGAAATATAGGTGGGGGGTTGAGGGGGAGAAAGCTTTCAGAAATACACTGTAGGAGAGCAATCTTCCTGATTCCAGGCAGGGCTAGATGACCTACATGCCTCCTCCATCTTCCTAATTATAGACCTTATGAGTCTAAGTATTCTAGAACAACGTTTGTAGCTTGATTTTTCTTTTTTTAGACACACAGAGCACTCCAACTCCCACTGAAGGTGTTTCAAATTGTTGTGTTCAGTACCTTGAAAATCAGACCCTTAAAGTTTAAACATTCAAGTTAATGAGTGTTTGAAGGCTTGATGGAGCCTAAGAATGGCAGAGTACTCTGTCTTTATATACTAAGCCACATTGCTGCATGCTGATAAAGGCTGGGAAGGTGAGAAAAGCTGTCTTAAATAGGGTCATTTCTTGATGTCAGGAAAATAGTGCTGTCTATCTAGTGACTTTCTCTTCAAAAGCACAAATTTTCTCTACTTTATTACACTTAGAGTAAAGCAACCATCCGAATGCCCCAAGTGTGCCTCCCCGCTCCAAATCATGGTGTAACTTTTGTTTTTGTTGTGGTTGCTCAATTGTGTGTAAATGTAATGGGCCATAGTTGTTGCACAAAAGCGCATATCCCTCCCAGAGCTGAATCCACTTGAATTCAAGTGAACAGGCTTCTTGACGCAACCAGAGTTGCATTTTAGGTCCAGAGGTTTTTGCTACCACTTGATCCCCTCTCAAATGCCAGTAATGACAATTTACCTTGTATCGTATCAGATTTGTAGACATCAGGGAGAGAATTTGAAATAAGCAGATAAAAGTCCTCATATTTTTGCTGCAAGACTTTCAGTGCCTGCTCTAACTATTATGTGTTAGGAATCTGACCCTTAGCATTGTATGTGTGAACTGTAGGTATGAGGCTACTCTATACTTTGTTGAGCCCTAACATAAGTATTATGTTAATGAACATGTCTTAGGCCTGGTCTATACTACAGAGTTAGGTTGATGTAAGGCAGTTTACGTTATCCACTAACTGTACGCTCTACAGCCTTGCTCCCGCCGATGTAAGCACCCTACTGCACTGATGACATAACCACATCGTCCATGAGAGGCGCAGGGCTTATGTCAATGTAGTTAGGGCGACACAATGTCTGTGTAGATGCTAGGTTACTTACCTCTATTGGCTGTCATTCTTGTCAATTTCATGGCTCCAATGGAGCCATGAAATTGACAAGAAAGCTGGCTCCTAGCTCCCCAGCCTGTCTCTGCTCTAAAGCAGGGCTGCCACCCAGACTTCCAGCTCAGGCTGCCGTCTAGGCTCCCAGCTCCCCACAGGGAGCCTGCTGCCTTCCTGACTCCCTGCTACTAGCCTGGCTGCTGCCCCTCTGATCTGGGCTGCTGCCCCTCTGATCTGGGCTGCTGCCCAGGCTCTTGGCTCCCCACTGGGAGCACAGCAGCCAACCAGACTCCGGTCACGGATCTCCCCGCCAGGAGCCTGGCTACCCTCCCCCAGGCTCTCAGCTCCCTGCTCTACAGTGGGAGCATGGCTGTGTCTGGTGGGGAGCTCTGCACCTGGACCCGGTGCAGAGTCAAGATGTCAGGGGGGCCAGGGGAAGCTGGGCTCCTGGTGGGGAGCTGCACATGGAGCTGAGAGCCCTGGCTTTCAGCCCCCCACGCTGCCCTTCTTAAGTTGGTGGAAGTGCTTCTGGTGCACCACTGACAGAAAGAGGGCAGTGTGGACACGAACCACTGCAGTAATTACCGTGGTGGCTGTAAATTGACCTAACCTAGGTTGGCTTAAGTTTATAGTGTAGACATGCCCTGAGCGTAACACTGAAATGTAAGAGATCAATTTCTAATACAATATTAGTGTTGCTGTTTATGGAGCTTTGTCAGGAGGCGCAGTCCTGTTCAGATGTACATTGAACATAAGTGTGTCTTTTGTTTGTAGGTGCAGAGAAAAGTCCTACCCTTCTGATTTACCGTTTGCCAGCATAGTTATCTGTTTCTATAACGAAGCATTTTCTGCTTTGCTTCGGACAGTACATAGCGTACTGGATCGCACTCCAGCATATCTCCTTCATGAAATTATCTTGGTGGATGACAACAGTGAACTGGGTGAGTGACAATCTCAGTAATGCATTTGTGCTGGCGTTGCACATCTGTGCTTGCACCTACTGGAGACGTTCGGCTTTCCTGTCTCTTCCTATGCTTTTATCAATAAACCATATATCGTGTAGACATGACCATTCAAAATAGTTAGGTTTTTAAACTTCACTTGGGCCAACTAGTTATGTGTTAATGTCAATAATAGTGAAGATTTAAGCAGCTGGGATCAGCTGAGCTATGCATAACCTATGACAATATATAGGAAAGTTTGCTGGGCCAGCCTGGTGTTTAGAATGGCTTATGCAGATGCTCTAAGAATATATTCTTCAGGCCCAAACTCTCCACAAGCCTATATTTACTACTGAAAAAGAGTTGCTTATACACAGTCCTGTGCCTCGCAGTTGTTTGTGTGGCCATATAAGTGGCTGTAGCACTGCAGATATAGTATGTGATTTCTGCCAGCTCATCAATTCAGTGGTGGTGTGGTGTACTTGGGAGCAGAGTCCAGCTTTTGGGCTGGGAATGCTGTGCATTACTCTTGGGCAACCTTGAGGTTGCCCCGGGGAGTGGTTTTCACTAGCTTTTGACGGAGCAGCTGTCTGGCCCTAGGAAACTGGAAAGGGGTCAGTGCAGTGGTGGGGCCCCTAAAGCGGGTAGGTCTGTCAGAATGAGTTGTCAAATATTTGTCTGTGGTTTAAAGATCATGCGCCAGCCCTTTTCTTTAGCACGCTCTGCAAATCAAAATAAGCCACTAACTTGGAAGCATTCTGGCATTTGAAAAGCTAAGCAGCAGCTGAGAAATATGTCTGTATAAACAGCAATTACAGCAGCATTGTGTGTGCTTCCTATTTTCTTGCTGTATAAACATCTGCAGCCTTATGTATCTCTTTCATCTGATCCTTTTTTAATATACATAATTAACTCCTCCTGTTTATCACCATCTGATTTCAGGCTTTAAACTCTCTTGTCTTTGTGAGGCTGATTACATCTGTATGGTTTAGAATGGAATTCCCTTCTTGTTACAAAGCTAATTTGTTTCTATTGGGTCAGAGCAAATGTTAAAGTTGGAGAGAGAACTAGGATTAAATACTCTGTCCTTTGCCAATAAGCATGCTTAATGTTTAAATGCCTGTTTCGAGGTTGTCCTCTTGAGATTTGGAAGGAATGTGCATCCCACACCACAGAGTTTCTGGCACAACTTACTGCTTTCAAGTTTCAGAGCCTTTAAGTTCAGCAGTAAACTTACCTCAAAATTAAGTCTTCAAATATGGCACTGACTAAACATAAACATCCTTCCTTGCTAACCAAGCCCTCTGACCCTGCTACTCTTTTGGTATGTAGTTATTTTGAAAGCCTAGTTAGTCTCAAAGCCTTGGTGTGGTCATGCTAATATTTCTAATTTTAAACCAGGCTCAAGTGGCTGGAGAATGGGGTGAGATTTCTTCAAACAAAAGGATTGGTGCACTCTCTCATTGATAGTGTAACAAACTAACGATGACATTGATACCTTCTTCTAATGGAAGAAATTTCACAAATAAAAGAGAGCAGGGGTGGTTTTCTCATTAAGACCCTGGACCAGAACTTCAGTCCCTGGCTCTGTACAGATTTCTTGTGTGGTCTTGGGTAAATCACCAAATTCCTCTGTGCCTTCATTAACTGGTATAAAATGGAGATGATAGTACCTTCTTTCTCCTACCTTTTGTCTTGTTTGTTTAGCTCTTCAGGACAAGGATAGTCTCTGACCTGGAGTACCTGACATGGTCTGCTGCTTAGCCTTATATTCTGTCATGTATAGCTCATGTCTTTGAATTTGGGTTTCCCCTCAATAAGTTCCTTACACACATGAACAATTTAAAATGCCCTATATACTAAAGAAGCTTTTCTATGTCTCTGCTGGAAACCATTCAGGGGCTGGGTTCCTCCTCTTCACTCACTCTGGCTATCATCCTATCTGTTGATCTTCATCCAGGATTTTCCCCCTCTCTCTAGGCTACCTTCCCTCCTTCTGTGATTTAATCCCTACCTTACTAAATGCAGCACAGAAGAAGGTGACCTCCATGACTTTGGCTGGTGCCATTCTTCCCTTGAGAAGAAGAGACCAAAGAGATGAGAATGAAGTGGGGAAGTATCTTCCTCAGCTGGGCCTCTTGCCATGCAGCTGTCCCACACTGTCCTAAAGCCACTTTTCTGCTTTCTCACGAAGAGAAGCCTCAACTATCTCAGCAGAGCACGATAGTGGCTGGAGTTGATTTCCAGAGCTCCCTTGCTTGCCTGAATGAGGGGAGAAGCTCTTCTTCAGGGGCAGAGGTGGCTTTTGGGTGCTGTGACAGACAAAATCAGCCTGCCCTGCTTACAAGAAGGCTAAAGAACCTCTCTAGTGGGGAAAGAGACACCAAGGCAGTCTTAAACCTCTGTTCCAGAAGTTACCTTAAAAAGCCTTCCAGGGGTTCCCTGGGGCCTAACCTTTTGTATTCCACTGTTTTCAGAGACTGTCCAGGGGGGCACACACAATCTTCCGCTAATCACTTCAGCCATGTAGTGTAGGGGTAGTGATTTGCTGTTCTGTTTTCTTCTTGGCAGGACCAGGACTTCTGGGGATTGGGAAAGGTGGGAGCATTTTTTGCTACTCTCCCCTGCCCCCAGAGCCTCACATGAAGCCTTTGTCCTCATTCTGTTAATTTTGATGTTTAACCTTTCCTAATTTAATTTCATCATGTGAGTTCTCCATTTCCTGTAACCTCATAGCTATCTCTGCCTTGGGATACTAGATCAAATGAAGAATAGTTTAGGCAATAGTTTTCGTTCCTGTTCATAAGTCCTTCTGTTTTTGTGCAGCCCTGTCTCACTCATTTATATAGTATTATTGGGATGATGCATGTTGAGTATCCCTAACTCTCTATACGATTTCCTTCAAAACCATCTCTCTTACTCCTTCCTTAGCACATTGTACCATATTTAAGATCGGGGAGAGATAGCATCCTTGAGGCAGACAGCATAGGGACCTTTGATTTACTCAGCAGGTGTCTCTCCTAGAAGTTTTAAGAAGGCTTTAGTCAAAAGATATTGCTTTTTCAATATATTCACTGTCTTGGATGATGTCATAGTATTCCACAGCTTTTCCTCCCTATCCACTATCCACAAGACTTTACTGAAGTCTCATAATATGTAAAGATAATAGCTGGAATGCCTTTTGTTTTTTCACTATCTCCCTTATAAAGAAATGCCTAGTTCTTCATGTGAATGTACAGTTTTGCCCTCCACATACATCCAGGGGTGCTGGAACTAGAGGTGCAGGTACTTTCCACTTTCAGCACCCCCACCATGAAAATTGTTCCAATGCCCCTGCATCCATCTATTAGACAAGATGGTCAGGGACGCAACCCCATGCTTGGGGTGACCCTAAACCTCTAACTGCCAGAAGCCACCAGCTCTCTCCTTGTGTCTAATGATGAGCTTGCTCCCCACAGACCGGGGGACACCAATTCAAAACAGCACCAAATTCTGCCAGAACAACAGATGCAAAACCTGTAGACATATTTCCATAGCTATGACAATCGGCACACCTTTCAAGATCCATAGGTTGTACACATGTCTATGACAAATGTAGTGCATCCAGTGCAATAAATGCCCCAATAATAACTCTGTGGGTGAAATCACACAATCACTATGCTTTTGAATGAACTCATACAGGAAAATAAGACAAAAACAGCCAATCACCTGTAGACGAACACTTCACAAAGTGATTATTCTCTCTATATGTGACCTCTCAGTCCTCGTTCTTGGAGGAAATCTGCACACCTTTGAAAGATGAGTCTGGGAGCTTAAATTCATAACGTTGCTAGACACTAAAAAGCATGGACTGAATAGAGATACTGGGTATATGGCTTATTACAGCCATCTATAACCCACTAACAACTCCTCTTCCCTTTCAGCTGCCTCCCCCCCCCCCCCGCCTTCATTGCTCCCCTATGATGGGAAAATTGTTAACTGGCCACTTCATCTTGAATGATCCTTTTGAAATGTGCTAACTACTTACGTTAAATAATCTGTTCCACCTTGTATTTAGCTGTGACAATGAGTATGTTTTCCAGACTGAGAGAGAGCTCTGTGTATGCTCGTCTCTCTTGCCAAAAGAAGTTGGTCCAATAAAAGATATTACCTCACCCACCATGTCTCTCTAAGGGTATGTCTACATGGCGATGTAAGCTCAGGGTTAGTGGGACTTGAGTCCACTGACCCATGTTAGGGGGGAACCCTGGGCTTTGAGCATCTACATTGTAATTAAACCCTATTTTAAGGGTTTTCTTACCCTAGAGCTCTGGGGCTCTGTCAACCACACCACAGTGCACAGACTCCAGTCAAAGTAACCATATCCCAGAGTCCCTAGCACCCCCTCACCCCCAGTCTAGCCCTAGGACCATCGTGCACTGTGGAAAAACTTTACTGCCTGCCCTGCATGTTGCAGGAAGTTTGAACAGCCTCCAACACAGCCTGCCAAGCCGTCATTTTGGTCTGTGCTCTCCAAGCTACAAGAGCCAACAACATGGAGGAGGTGCCTTTTCATGAACTTCTCTTGCTTGCACGTTTGCTCCAGTGTCAGGAAACTGGCAGAGCATCCATGAGGCGCTGGTGGACACATCGATGGTATTTTCTGTTTCACAAAAGCTACCTGATGGATTTCCTGATGGAGCAGCAGGAGGAAGAGGAGGATCTGTTGCCAGCCAGTTGGGGTTGGAAAGTTGATGGAGAGTAGAGTGGGGGGCTGTGGCTTCTGAGGCAACGAGGCATGTGGTTTACCCTGAGGAGGTAGGCATTAAAGCTATTCCAGAGGTAATTGGTGGCTTTCAGTGAATGGGGTTTCCTAATTGTGCCAGGCCGTTGATGGGACTCATTTGCCCTCCTCAAGGAGTACCTGAGTACGTAAATTGCAAAGGCTCCTACTCCATTGTTATGCAGCCACTGGTGGACTACAGAGGCAGATTTATGGATGTCAATGTGGTCTTCACAGG